AGAATGATATTCTTCTCCTTGCAAAGATCTTGAAAATCGACGGAGCAGTGGCTCTCATGGCCGTCGATAATGAGCAGTCGATACCCACCCACAGTCTGCCTCTTTGTATAGGTATCAAAGTGCTCTAACCACGCAAGAGCAAGCTGATTATTCGTCCAGCCATTAGGACTAACTTCAAGAACCCAGTCAGTAGGCAGGTCTTTAAACCAGACGTCGATAAGCACCTTGCCCGCAAAGATAACGAAGGGGGGTAGCCGGCGACCTAACGCGCCCACGCCTTGGATCACAGTAACCCACTCACGGTTACCTAGCTGGATCCGCTTCTTTTTGCCATATCCCTCTGAGCCTGTGATAACTAACTGTGATAAAATCTTGCCCATCATAAAGCCAGTTTCGTCAAAGTTGTAGATATCGTCGTCCACAATACCCCACTTCTGCTTTGTCGCCTGAACTAAGTCGAACCAGCGCTGGATAGCCGCTGGGTCCTCGCAGGTAGCTCGCTGGTGATCGTAGGGACGGCTCCAGCGCGTGCGGAGCTCAGGAGTCCTCTTAACAAAGTTATCAATCCAGTTCTTGCCAACAGGGTTGCTCCCACGCTCATGCAGCAGTTTATCAGCCATTGCTTGAACGTCAGGCTTTGTAGGCGCAAATCCTCGCGCAGACTCCTCAAGAATACGCTTAACTATAGCCTCCTCTTCTAGCTTATTTAGGCGCTTCGAATTCGCTTCGCAGTCGCGTCGAGAGCGCTTTCCAGCGCGTCGGTCAGATAGGGTTCTTTGAGGCACGTTATAGATAGAGGCAGCACGTCTTTGGCTTTGAACACGTTGCGATTGGATATCAAAAAGAGCAAGCTGAAGATCTGATTCAGGATAGGCTAATAAATGTTGACGTTGTTGAGACATGACGTGTTGCAGTCTCGACGTCGACGCGCTGGTGGGGCGTGAGCGACTCGCTTGGGTGAGCGACTCGCTTGTGAACCACGTTATATTTCCGTCTATATATATTTCGCTGGTAACTTTATATTGCGGCCGCGGGTGGTGGTTTTGGTGGAGGGCTTGGCGGGCGGCGGTGCAACTCCATCACCACTCTCGCAGCCCACCACACGACGACGTTTTGCTGTTTTTGTATTCTGCGACGATGAAGCTTTTCGTTTAGGTGTACTTTGCTTATCGCGAGATTTTTTTGTTGTTGCAGCAAGCCAATCTTGTTCTTTTTAGGCGCGCGCGGCAGCAAGTTGTGCAGCCTTAGCCTCCCGTTCCTTCTCGCGGGCAACTTTTGCAATTTCCCGCGCCTGTTTTGCCTCTGTAGCTATTTGTTTTTTATACTAGGCAGCGGCTTCTCGCATCTCTTTTCTCTCTTTTTATTTTAGAGTTTTTCTGCCTCTTCTTCTTGGTGTTGTACAGCCTGACGCGCTCAAGCTTCCCGTACCGCCCGAGGGCTCCACACCACCGCCAGACTCTGGTACTCTTGGTGTTGTTAAAGGTCGAGAACTCTATTATGCTTCGGCCTCTGTTTTTTGGTGGCGATTTCACCGCGAAGTTCGTCGATCTCAACGTGGAGAAGCTCGTTGTTGACCTGCAGAGAATGTAGAGCCTGGCGGAGCTCTTTGGCTGCAGCCGTCGACCTATCCGGTACCGCAACGTCAAATAATCTTGACAGCGTACGCCAGCTATCTCCATCTCCCACCTCTCTACTTTTCAAGTTGTTATCTCGTTGTGATGTGGTGGTTTTGAACCGTTTGAGTACGACTTCGGGATCGCGGGGATGGAGCCCGGTGGCTGCAAAACTGCTCAAAATATTATCGGTAGTGAAGGTAGATGTATACGCCACCCAAAATAGGCGGAGGAAATCACTTTTCTGCATTTGGAGCAATGCTTGGCTGCGGCGTATGAACTCTGATAGCTCTTTAGAGTACGCCGCCGACAGCGGCCCGTACAACACCACGTTGAGAGGCTGTAGAGTATGGGTGGCGTAGGGTGGAAATATTGAAAGTATTATTCGATGGGAGTAACAATATTCGATAAATTCGGGTGAGACGTGGCTACCGTGGCCGTCGAGGATGAGCATCTAGTAATCGCGTTTGGCTTTCGCCTTCGTTTGACGATCAAAAACCTGTTCGAGCCAAGCCAAGCCTAGGTCGTTATTACTCCATCCAGATGGACTTGTAGAGAAAAAAACGTGGTGTTTTCCGACCTCTAGGTCGCGTACCTAGCCATCGCGAAGTCCAACCTTGCCTTCATAGATAACGCAAGGATCTACAGCGCTTCCATTAGCACAAACACATGCTAAAACTGTTATCCACTCTCTATTACCATCTTTGATGGCGGCGGTGATCATTTTTTGGTCCTAAAGTTGTTTGGAAAACACCTGTTTTGACCTTATGGTGGACCCAAGTAGGAAGCCCTTCTTGTCTATATTGTAGATGTTATGCGGCGCAACGTTGTAGTCATCGAGTTTCCCAAAGATGAGATCGAAATATGATCAATAACTATCATGACTATCAGCTTCGTGACGATTGCGGTCCATCCTGGTGGTGTATTTGATAGTAAGGTCGGTGGTGTTGCGGTCCAGAAAGCGTGTGACCCAGCTATCTGACGGCTCCTATTCCGCAATATTTAACACAAAATTTTTTATTATGGACCTAGTAAGTCCAAGCCCACAACTAGAAAGCTTCTGTATATACTTTACAAGCTCAGCTTCATGTTGTGTAGTGAGTAATTTCGTGTTTTCTGCGGCGGCTGCACAGGACTGGGTTTGTTTGTGGTGGCGGCGCGTCAACGTTGACAACACAACACTAAACTTTTTCGCAGCTGCTCTATACGAAAGTCGTTC